AGCGGAGCGGCGACGCACTTGCGCCTACAAACCTAACAGGGATACTTCACGCATTGCGCAACGCGTGAAGTATCCCTGTTAGGTTTGTAGGCGCCAATGCGCGTTTCGCGCTGGCTGCCCGCCTGCCGCACCGCAGCGTGCAACGGCGCTTGAAGCAACTATTTCACACTAGAGGTATTGCACAGTATCGTACGAAATTGAAGGCGCTCTAATATGTTAGGAATGTCAGGCATCCATCAAAAGTACGGAGCTTTCCTCGCAAAATAAATCAAGATACTACGGCCCAAAAAGAGAGCAGTGGTCCAAAAACTACTAAGTCCTAGCATCCGTAATTAGTGACGTTTAGCATACACTTTATCGCCTGGCTGTGAGTTGCTTAATCGGCATCGGCTATAAAAGGCTTTAAGAAATTGTGTAGCCGGCTATAGAAGCTATTGGAAATCTTACAGCCGGCCGTAGGTCTATGGTATTTTGGAACACAGATTCTACTGCCAATTTTTACCAGGGATACATTTTTTGCAATAAAATCACAGTAATCGAGTAAAAAATTAAATTTACCAAGGTGCTTTTCGTCTTGAATTGCAGTTTATTGGTAGTGAAGATGAAGCTTGTTTAGATGACCAGTTTATATTTGCAAGGTAAATAAGCTGTACAATCTTAGCGGCAGTAGAATTGTCTTGATTCCTCTATGCAAAATGCATCCATATGATAATGGAAGAATCCTCAAAGTTAGGTCCGAACCCAACATGCAACTATTTGAACTTCGCGGTAGGCCAGATTGCATACCCTCGATATTGCGGGCGAAATCTAGGATCCGCTGACAGCGGAATCTAAGCAATATTGGAATGTTCTTGGTTTCTTTTTGCAAAATGCAATCCATTTGAAACTCATGTTAGGGATAGCATGTGTGCTGTAAGTTTCTCTGCACAGGTATAGGTTCTTCTATGGATACGCTTAAAAATGTAGTCAAAGTAAAAAACATATCATTGCTATTCACTCACATGTTGACTGTGCAACTGCAGGAACGCGTTTCTTGGTTTGGAACGTTGCAGACTTCCTATCGTGTTCTTCAACTAGAAAACTTCCCCATTTTTTTCGAGTAAAATATTTTAATGGTAACAGAAGAAAACTCCCAGCTCATTCGTGTAGCTAACTCAAAACCGTCAAAAATCGAAATACGCACTTTTACGATTTCATCATTGATAAGTTACTCAATGTGCGATACAACTATACGTGATCTGTGGACATACTGGTGCTGGTTACGTATCGATGTGAAACTGCAAAAATATGCATCACGGTATTTCAAAATCTCCACTCCTATTTTATTTTTTAAGAAGAGGCCAAACTAACACCACGGCTTGAAATTTTCACAGAATATTGTTCGCATAGAGAAGAAACGTCATCGAAATTTTCAAGAAATGACGTTCAGTGGTTTCTAAAATGACTAAAATATCAGTTCCTAATTGCAAGATGAAGTTCAACATATGAAAATTTGAAGCCATCGCGTTAGTTTGTTCTTCTTTGATAAAATTGAGAAAAGAGCAGATATTTTGAAACACCGCATACTAGGTATGCATCGTGCTAGCAATTTCGCAATTAGCGTAGTCTTCCTAAATAAAGGGAAGGCGCTGTGTATGGAACGGATATCCTGCCGTGCTATGCAAAAACGTGATATGAGCATTCGAATGCTGACAAATGTTCTCTTAGAAAATATGTAATTTTGAAGGCAGTGAAGAATATTTTTCCTTGAAATTTTCAGACATTTTGCGGATCCAAATAATGGACGAAATTCTCCTTTCAGGAAGGAAGGAAAAGGAAAGGAAACTATTCATATATCATCACCTTCCAGCCAAAGTTTCACAAGCGCCATGCGACGTTTAAAAATTTCCGCCGCCATTTCATTTTTTACGGAGGAATCGTTGGTTTAATCTGTTTGAAATACACTGTCTTTCATCGGTAGCACAAAGAAAATTCACTGAAATTTCCGGATAGCTTCGTTGAACAATTTCTCTGTAAAAAATTTAAAATGGCGGCGGGAATTTTAAAACGTCGCACAGTGGATCGAGTCAATCAGAGAGGTCGGACATGAAATTTTTTGCTAAAACTGCAAATTTTGATGTTTAATTCGTCACATTTTAAATATTCAGGGGTGTTTCTGAAAGAAAAATTTCACGAAACAACCAATGGAACCACTTTCAAGACCTCAAAATTTCGTGTGAATGGAGTTTTAAGCTTTTAAAGGTTCCAAATTTTATCCGACCTCTCTCATTGACTCGATCAACTGTGCGTCGCATGACGCTTGTAATACTTTGGCCGGAGGGTGACGATGTATCACCGAAAATTTATGATTTTTGAAAGGAAATTTAGCAATGTCTCAGTTCATTCGTTGTTCTTCCCTTGCACGGCAGTATATGCAATGGACCCGGACCTAATGGTTAAATTGAGACGAGCCGGATGATTCATCTGGCGATATCCTAGCACTGTCGGAAAATAGCACTTACTCCTCAGTTACTTATAAATGACGCGGGAAATTGACCCATTTTCGTGATTTGATGCGGGGTATACTCACGATCAATGGATGGCTGCGCTCTAGGCGACCGGTTGACACGATCCCGCACCACCGATTTCAGGGAGTAGCGATTGGAGCACCATAATGAAAATCTGAAACCAGAAACGCTCAAATCAAAACATGTAAATTACGCGCTTAGCGTTGCCGCATTCCTCCCGACTCCAAACAATTTTTGTTTTTACAGATATCGTGCCATGTTTGCTTTGATTTTTTCGAATAATATGGGTCGTATTCGATAGTGGATCCATGTGCCGTTTAGTTCAAAATAGAGAACATAACCTCAAACAAAAATTTTAGGATTCAAGCAGAAAAGCTGAAAATGAGAAAGTTCCTCATGATTTCACTTTTCATGGCAAGAATAAAAATTCAATCACAAAAGACCCGTTACCTCAGATTTCTAAATTGAATTTTGAGGCTATGTTGACGTGTTGAACTAATCGCTATCGATACAATCTCACCTTTGAATCTCACCTATTTGACGTATCAAATACGATCTATAATCTCGGTGGGTCACTAATCATAAGGACAAGGTAAAAGTTCATGGTCCCCTATCGAAATGCCACGCAAAATGCGGGAAACATATTGAAAGTCACCAAATTCAACTCAAAATATATAAAATATGGACCATGTTAAGCAGAAAAGAACCGAGTCACATCATCTATAGCCAAATTTAATCGGGTAATTCAATTTTTTAGATACAAACGTTTGCGTGGATACTTGCGCAAATTTCAGTGGATTTTCTGCATAAGTACGAAGCAAATTCGTTAAAATTCTCAAAGTGATCCGCACAAACCTTATCTTGTAAAAATTAAATCACCCACTTAAATTTAATAATAGCCGGTGTGGCTTGGTTCCTTTTTGCTAAATACGGTCCAACTTTCTTCAAAATTGTCGGAATTTCTCTGATCACAAACAAATTTTCTAGAGAAATCGTGCAACTTTTGCTTTGATTTTTCAAATAAACTTTGGCAACTTGCGAATGCTCATTCGATGTTCATCCGCAGCTGGTGTGCACAAAGCACGTGGAGTAGTTCCCCAGCGGGTCGACTGTTGAGCCGTTATCGAATGATCCTGATCGATGAATCCCTATCTTAGCAATGCTTTTTATCGATCAAGGTCATTCGATATTAATTCAACAATCGATCCTGATCGATAAATCCCTCACGGAAAAAAAAGTGCTGATTCAACAATTCAATTGCTAAAAACAGTGAGTGCAATGTTTCAACGCAGATTTTACAACAAAACAATGCTACTTTAACCACCCCCGTGGTTAAAATAGTTTACAATGTGGTTAAAGTAGCATTTTGCTATCTTAGCAATGCTTTTCATCGATCAAGGTCATTCGATATAGATTCAACAATCGATCCTGATTGATAAATCCCTATTTTAGCAACGCTTTTTATCGATTAAGGTCATTCGGTATCGATTCAACAATCGATCCTGATCGATAAATCCCCAGGGACGGAGTTAGGGGGTGGCCACATGGGCCGCGGCTCATGGCGGCAAATCTATAGAGGGCGGCAAATTTTGCAATTTTTTTAAATGTAGGTATAAAAAAATCGGATTTAGAAAAAAAAATTACAAACGAGAAAAGGCGACGAAATCTCTCATTTCCTGAGAGTACAGTAATTTCTAATTTTGTCGTCTTTGAGTGGTACAAAAGACAGCACTTTTAATTATTCGAGTTAAGAGAGAAACCAAGCACGCAATTTGGCCTGGAACGGCGCCTGGACTTAGAGAGAAATGATGACGAGGACTTGAGATGAAAGGAGAAACCGTCGGCGCGGCGATCGGCATGTAACTATACTATGTATTAGCGCCTACAAGACTGCACAAATATCTCACGCATTGCATCAAACACAGTGCGGTCATTGCGGAAAGCGTGAAACGGATAGCGCCTACAAGAATGCATGAATACCTCACGCATTGCGTCAAACAGTGCGATCAGCGTGAAACGCATAGCGCCTACAAGACTGCGTGAATACTTCACGCATTGCGTCAAACAGTGCGGTCTGCGAGGCGCGGCGGCGAAAGTTAAAATCATTAATCCACATTTAGGTATATTTGTTCTTTCATAATTTTTTCGTTCATTTCTCATGAATGGAAGGCCTTGTCCACACAGATATAGGTCTACGAAACTTATGTTTCGCGCAAAGTTCTGTGAACTCTTGCTAGTAGTGCTGACAGGGCTTTCCCAAAAAATGTGTTCAACACAAGTAAACGCGTCTTATGTATCCCTCCCCCGCTGGCACGTTCATTAGATGGTTTTTATTGATGTTTCAAAACGAATGAGAAGGGGGTTTCAAAATACAGGTGGCCCATGGGCGGCAAGTAGGTAAATCCGGTCCTGTAAATCCCTATTTTAGCAACGCTTTTTATCGATTAAGGTCATTCGATATCGATTCAACAATCGATCCTAATCGACAAGTCCCTACTTCGGCAATGCTTTTTATCGATCGCGGTCATTCGATATCGATTCAACAATCGAGCCGCAGTCCCTTCAAATCTCATTAACGTTGTTTTTTTGGCCGACGTTTTAACTGTAATACACGAAACGGAACTATCTCACTAGGCCGATTTATATTATCACCCGTATTTGCACAGTGAAATCAACGAAAAATGCGTCGTCTCAGAGATGAGCCCAAGAAGCAGTGCTGCCATTTTTCGAAATTAATTCCAAATTTCGGTCCTTTTCCCGGAGTCTTCAAAGTTTCCGCAATTGTATTTTTGGAATTTTCCGGAATTTCGGGATTTTTTTCTATCAGTTTGACCAAGTTTGATCAATTTGACAATCTTCCGCACTGAATCCGGGTGTCATTCGGCCCCCCCCCCCGGAACTTTTGAAAAAATCGGAGTTTTTCTCCGAACTTTGGGGAATTGGAATTAAATCCGGGGAACCCGTAATCTTTGGTGGCAGCACTGCCTGAAAGACGACTATTCTTTTTACAGAATAATGTCCATTTGAAGATGTATAAATACATTATATGATAACAACTCTTTGCCACTGAGCTAGAGACCGGGGTTTGGATGAAATAATATGATTGGGTGGGGTTTCTTTCTATTTTTCTCTCTTGGATAAATGCAGTCCTTCTTGTCACAACTTGGTGGCTTATATAAACTCAATTTTTCTCGGACTATCCACTTCTCTTGCCTGTCATTGCCCGCCCTGTCCATTTCCTCTTTTGACGAGGTGACTACTTCATAACTTTCTCCCATGTTGGATTCTTCAGACTTCCTGCAGCCATGTTGAACAGTAGCGATTCGCATTAAAAATGAATGAAATAAATAAACTGGCAACGCTAAATTTTGAATGTCTGAATATGTAACCGATAGCTGAAGTCCAAAAATGCGTATCTCTATCGTCACGTCTAAATGCTCTGATTACGCTCCATTTTATTAAAGGAAATAAAGAACCAAAATGAGTCTCTCAAAATAGGTCTTTGTAAACTGGCAATACTGCATTTCGTCAATTTACATATCTGGAAAGTGGCGAAAGTCGGTGGTGGAAATTATGCTCAATTTTATTAAAAGAAACCTAACTAAATTATCTCTTTGGAATATTTTGTAAAAAATTCTAAATGAGTGAAGAAAATTCACGAGAAATTCCAAGAACAAAAACTGGTTGTTTTTTTTTTTAAAAAAAAAAATGTAACCTGACCGAAGATTTGCAACATCGCGGGATTTCAATTTCATCTATGGACCTAAAAAAATCGACATTCATCAAAACATGCTGTCTTATCAGGAAACGATTATATAGAGACTAATTTTTCGACTTCAGACATCGATATTACCAAAGGCATTGGTACATCATGTAAAACACGTTTATTGCCTTCGGATGGGTTAAAAAAGACAAGATTGTAAATAGCAACTTACTACGTCGCTAAAATGGCTACGTCATTCTCACGTGGTCATAGAGAACGCGAGACGCAACAAATTCTGGCGACCTCTTCGTAAAAATTGAAGGCGTTCCATTGATTTTCATTGCAACGCCAGGATACAACTATTCGTGCTCATGGGACGTCAATATTGCATACACGCAAAATTGCAGGCACTTTGGTTTTCTTGTCGGCACCGCTGCCTGCAACTGTTTGAGTTAGGTTAAAGGGGCGTCCGTTGTATCCAATCGCGTTAATCATAAGAAGCCGCAAAATTTGGGAGAATTGAGAGTCGCTACAGCGTTGCCACATAGTGCGATGTAGGTAATTAATTTAAATGGCTGGAAGATAGATATAGCTACCTCGTCGCATCGGAACTGATTTGGGGGTCTCTAACTGGATGGACATGAAGTGTGGCAACAGTACTGAGTGGAAGATTCATGTAAGTACGTGCCTAAGTATAAGACTTATAGCTTTTGCTCGCTCTTGCAAGTAGTTGAGGCACTTGTCGTGCAAATTATGTGCAAGGGCACTTCTTTGCATCATTCTTTCTTCTAGTTGTATTTTTAGATGCAGAATAGTTGGTAGTTGTGCTATCGACGAGTTGGTGTTTGCTGCTTTACCCTGGTAGCAAGAAAAGTTAGTTAGTTATTTTATTGAATACGGAAGAACACGGCAGTATAGATGTATATTTGCGTAATTTACGAGGGGCGTTCGTAAAGTAAGTATATATCTTTATTTTCTCCGGAACTAATGAAGATAAATTAAAACGGTGACAAGTGTTTTAATTGTCATACTCTCAGCTTTTCAAAAAGCCTTTGTTTTTTAAATTTGGTCCACCCGTTCGCGAGTGACGTCATTTTTCCCGCGCCCATCTCTCGTCACCGCGTGTCCAAAATATTCGAGCGCGGCGGAGCTCCTCAGACGAGTACATGTTTTGGCTCCGGGATTTTGGGTCGCTCAAGGAATATTGCTGATCGATATCTTAGGAAGAGGAAAAACGATCGATGCCGCAAAATATTGTGAAGTTTTGAAAAAACTTAATTCAGCGATCAAGCGAAAACGGCCCGATCTTTTGTCTCGTCAAGTTTTGTTCCTTCAAGACAACGCTAGGCCTCATGTGGCTCATGTGACTAGAGACTTGTTCGCCTCATTCAAATGGGACCTTTTTCCTCATCCATCGTACTCACCGAACCTTGCTCCATGCGATTTTCATC